CCAACATGCTTCACCAAATCTCAACAAATATTAAGACAAAACTGCACAACAGTGGCAAGGATGTATTTTTTTTTTTTTCAAAAAAGGTAAATAAGGGCTAATCTAAATAAATTTTGTACTTGTACAACTTAATTAGATTGGTAGCTACAGATCACATTTCCTGAAAACAAAAAAATATTTTATATATAGCTTTATATTAGAGCTATATAAATCCACATTTCATGATTAAGACATTTCAGCTAAAATTTTTCCTAAGTTAACATAAGAACTTTAGACCAGCCCTAATTTTACATGCAGTGTGACTCAGTTACCAAAAATCTTCAAGTAATCTTAAGATTACTTCCATTTGCTCAAGGTATACTATCCGCTTCTGCTACGTTCTTCATTATATAACCAAGAGTATTTAAAATGTGCAAATAACTAACTGTCTCCAAAATTTTTTAACCTTGGAAACTATAGAATGTTTTGCAATGTTAAGAATCTGTTCTTATTCCTTATTGGTCCCTATGATCTAATGGTAGGTTCTCCTATAATGGTTTTTCAGAATATTTCATAATCTGATGTAGATTTGACATCAAAGCTGAAAGGAGAGGGGGGGGTCCTGGGTTTTGGTGGATGGGAGGGAACGGGGGGCGCAGGCAGGGAAAGGCGTTATTTCAGCCACATAGAAATAAAAGAACACCCAGCAATCCAGACAGCGTATGTCCCCTGCCAGCCTTGCAGCTCTCCACCTACCAGAGTCACTGTGGGTTGGTTTTTTTTTTCCATAGAAGCAAAAGAATACTTTTTTTGTGCAGCTGCACCTTTGAGGTCATGTAAATGGTCCAACTTACACAGGTACATAAAAATTGTACTGTGTATAATTTCCACATGCTTGTAGGTATACCTTCGGTTAGGGCACTGCTGCTATTCCCTGTCCCAAACTTCTCAGTGTCCTGAACTATCCTACTTCAATGTCTTGTGTTTTATTTCTTTCGGGTACACCAGAGTCACATTGTCAAATTTTACCCTGCAGCTGAGTTAGGTACTATGAAGAAGTGTACCTTCAGGAACACCCAGGCCCTAATGAAACAATCAAACGATGCAACATTTACAGTAAGACAACAGGAACTGGCAACACTGGGTTTACTGGCTCTTACTTTAGTGCAGAACAACTAGACTACTTGCAGTACCAAAAATGAAAGCTTCTGCCAAAATTCTGCATTAATTCCAATCAGAAAAAAAAGGGGTGGGAATCACAAGAGAACTTAATCACAGAGAAGGACAACATTAAAATCTTGGTCTAGACACTGGAATGCCACTCACCAACCATTTAATCTGTGCAACAAAACTAGTACTTCACGAACATCATGCAAACAACATTGACTCTGGAAACCATGTTCTATGCTGACAGTTTGTGCAAATTCCACACCATTTTCATGGGATGGTGGATTTCCAAATCATTTGCATGAAGCAGCTAAATTCAACTCATTTGTTCACTCATTTGATGTTATCAGAATTTAAAATTCCTCCCCTATTTTTCACAAATGGGCATCTGGAAATATTTAATGCCACTCTTGGGGAAAAAAAAAAAGAATGGTTTTACTTCACTATATAATTTAGGATTTATTCCGATTTAATTCTTCTGGTAAATTCTGGATCCATGTATGAATTAACCTAAGAATTTGAATCAACTTATCTGTTAAGGCTTTCTAGTATTTCCTAGAGACACTGAAGGTGAAATCACGTACTTACTGAACAAAGCTACTTAAAGATTTGCCACTGGGGGTCAGGAGAGCTAGGATTTCACCTTGGTCTTCAGACACAAAAAGTTAGTGGAAGTCTTAAAGCAATGCATTAACAACAGCAAATCAACCTAATTGGAACTTTTACTTTTTCCATTGCCAGATGTGCATTGTTGTCTTTTTTTCATTTTTCTTTTTTTTTTTTTTTTATAGAAAAAATAGAGTATTTAAGGAGTGACCGTGACAAATTGCAGTGAAAGTTTTCTTTGTGAAAGTTTTACATTCATTAAAGTTGATCTGAAATGCTACAAGACTAGATGCCTAGAAGCAAAATCTACAGGAAGACTATAAAGGCTTCTGGTCTCTCTATATTGCAGTCAGTCTAAAATAAAAGAAAGGCTGAAATGAAAGTCTCTTTTGCTAACTAGTCCTTTTTCCCCAACCAGATTTAAAAACCAAAAAAATTAAAGGGGATGTTAGAATGTGTAGAGCATCATTTCGTTGTTTGGTTTGCACACAGAAGTTCACAATCAGTAAGAGAAATAGGAAGTTAGCAATTGTGCATGCACCAAAGAGTCCTAAGACAGTTCTCAGGTTTTTGTGTGTAATTTTTTTGTTTGTTTTTTTTTTTGTTGTTGTTCTGTTTCTGTTTTCACAGGCATCGCTAGTTCAAGAACCAACAGTCAAAGAATACTGGCACTTTAAGAGGAATGAAGTTTCCACTGTCATTTAAAACAAGCATTCAGGTAAAGCTAACAGGATCATGAAGCAGAAAGTAAAGTAATGCTAAAACAAATGCTAATAATTTAGTGTAATGTACAAAAATTACTTAAGTACTTCTTAAGAATAAGGATAAATTGTATTTACATAATTATACACTTTGTCTTTGTCTTCTTTTTCTTCTTTTTACCATCTTTGCTCATCTTCTCTTTGTGTTTTCTGATTTCTCGAACTAATGTATAGAAGGCATCATCAACACCCTGAAAAGATACATACATGCACACATTAAGATCGCATTAACGGACTTACATGCTTGCTTAGGTACAGCCTGTTCTCATCTGACCTGATCAGGTGAAGTGTGTTCGATCAGCAGTCTCTTTTGCTGCCTGCCAGGAGAGGTTACACTGTCTTCTCCTCCCTGAGGCTTTTATAACTTTCCCTTGAGTAGACTGTGGGTTGGAGGAACTGCCAGGGCAACAGTCCTCTCAAGTGTTCCTGTTTCTTGGGATGGGACATGCTGGGAAGAACATGTTCAGATGGAAGGGGAACTACAGTTGTCTCCTGTCGTCTAAGAGGGACGTGTCTGACTGCGTTACTGTAGTGCATGGGCAGAGGGGCCTGCAGGAGAGCAGCTCTGTGGAGTGGGCTGCTGTCTTTTGAACAATTAATCCTGGCTGCAGGCTGTTCCTCTCCTGGTTTCTGAGGAGCACCGAGACAACACCACGAATGAACCATTTTGATGCCACCTGCCTGCCCTTTTTCCCAGCTGTTCCCCAAACTGGGCTTACAGCAGCCTGTGGGTGACGTACGGCGCAGGGGTTGACCACAGATACCCCAGAGGTCCAATTCCATTCCTAACGTGGTAAGGGAAGTAATTCAGTGTACTGCCCTCTTCTCGAAGAGGGCGCATGTTGTCCCACCTCAAACTAAAAAAAGTATAGGTACCACATGTTTAGATTATAAATATGTATCTTATTAGTACAAAGTAAAGTTCTGAAGCATTAGCTAGCTTTGTTTATGCCTTAATCTATATGCAGCTTTAAAAAGTAAATATGATTACTTGTAGCAGGAATTCAGTACCAAAGAGCGAATTATGTTTATTCTACATATTCAGGTCATTTCTCAGGCACACTGATATACTAATCACACCACAGTTTTACAAATCTTTAAATATGCAAATCAATCCCAAGTTCCATTGATAAATTATTACTTGATAAATGATTCTATTCAAATTACATAAAGACACACGGAACACATTATCTCTGGTGCTGTATCATATACAGTCACTTAAAATCTCCACGGCTCCAATAGTTAAGCTACAGACACAAAAGCTAATGTTTCTTCATGTTGAGTAGGTTTTTTTGTTTGTTTTGGGGTTTTTTTGGTTTTGTGGGTTTTTTTTTTTTGGGGGGTGGGGGGTGGAAATCAGGTTTCATTTTGCTTTTGGTGCTACTACTATGTGACACCCAGCACTACCTGTCAGTGGAATTTTCTGCCAAAAATTAGCTCCAGTCAAGAGAGACCAGCGTGTTTAAAAGCCTGATAAGAAGCATTATCATGTACAATGTTACATGGTATACTTTGTAACAACCTATTTACATGAAACAGTTTATTCTATTGCCTGGCTTTCAGGTTGCTCCAAATTCCAATCAAGTACACATGTTCTCAGACAGCCTTTACATTTAATAGTTTAAGTACTGACAGTTAGAAAATCATTAAGATAAAAAATGATCTGGATTCTTCACTGCCTTATTCCTTATATTATCTTTTAGATACATCAGAAAGAGTTGCAAATGTTAACGTATCACAGCAGCCAACTGCACCATTATAGAACTGGGTCTAGAAATGCAGCCCTACAAGAAGCAGGCAGCTTCCTACCTCTTGTCAGCTACAGTTGGCCTTCAAGCCGCCTGTAGAAGTTAATGCTCTGTTTACTCCCATGCGCCTACTTCAGTAAAAGAACTGAAAGTGAGCTCTGAGAAAAGCACAACAACAAAAAGCCAAAAATCACCTAATTCGCTACTGTTTCAGTCAAACACCAAGTGGTCATGAAACTGAATATGGGAAGTCCAAAGAACAGCAGGGATGTTAAATAGCTTCACTTATAAAGCGATGCTCCCAGTATAACCTAAGTTTATTTAAAAGCTTCACATTCAAGTTCATAAAACATTTACAAATAACTGATGTTTGACCAGAGTCCTTGGCAGCCTATCTCCCAGTACTAATAGCACATTTTTGCAAGGTCTTGCAACATACAAAATACACTTGCAAATAACTTAGTCTAAATTTTAGAATATTATTGAGCAATATAAAATCGATGTAGCATGCCTAATGGAAGAGTAGCCTTGGTTCTGGAAAAGGTCACGTTCCCCATGAATCTTTTGAGAATTAGCAATCCTTGGTATTATTTTACAGAGAGCTTGTGTATTTTCCTTATAACTTCAGCATTAATGCACAAAGTGAACATTTAGCAATGCTCACGTAGGGAAATGAGCTGGAAGCAGTGACGGTTCAAAGCGTATCTGCTGCAGCTCTCATCTCAGCCAGCCAGCCGGGAGGAAAGCATTAAGAATCAATCACAACAGACAGAAGAATAGTTTCATTCTTAGAGCACAAGAATGGCATAAGAAAATCCTCTGCACAACGTTCTTCTACGGGACTGTTCACATTTCCTTACAAAACTACCTTTTGGTATTTCATGCTCATCATTAATGTATTAGAAAAATAATCATTATGAGGACAGCCATTGGCTTTGAGCCGTGTCTTCAAATGAGACCCGCTGAACAAAAATGGCAATTTAAGTCTTCAAACGAGCAACCCTCCCTCATTAAACTGATTTTGAAATAAATACAGAGAAAATGACTTGTACAAAGTAATATCCAGAGACTATTATGGGCCTTTAAACACATGACTTCACAATTAAGGCTGAAATCTTTATTCTACCTAGTAAGGTGATGATTGTTTAAATACAGCACATGTTGCCAAATACTTGGGAATTGACTTAGCTTTCATCCTTGCATTAACTCCTTTATAGATCAAGCCTTTAAAATTATTAATTATAGATTTAGTAGCTTGGTCCTGCCACAATTCCTCTTAAATTCAGGTCATGAATATAACGTGACATAAAAAACTACGTTTAGAATATTTGTGAGTTAGAACTGGAGAGCTCAAGATAAACTGAGGTCTGTAGATTAAATTTTAGATTCAATTAGTGGATACTCTGTTTACAGAAGGTCCCTAAAGGCATCAGTACTGTAAGATCAAAGGCGGTCAACCTTTCTAGTGACTTCTTTCAGTAAGAAGGGACTGCATGCAGCTGACCTTCCTCCCTCTAACAATGGAGTTATTGTGTGCAAGCTTTTTGGAAAGCAAGAGATGTACTGAATGAGTGCTTTAAATCCAGGCTCAGGATTAGAAACTCAAAATTCACTGTGCTTGCTCAGAACTATACCACGCTGCCCCAATAAAGGTGCATTGACGGAGCTTGCTCCTGGCACTTGCATTTCTGAAGGGCAACTATGAAAGGCAAAGGGAACAAAAAAATCAGAACTGTGCCCACAGAGACAGCCTGCTCCTGGCTCTGCAACTTTTCTTTGGAGCACCGCATGATCCCATGTCCATACAGAAGTCTGGAGATGTGGTTGTATGGTTACGAGCATGCATGAGACTTGGCAACTAACCTGGCTATCAATAAGAAGCCCTAAATTCATAAGGAATTGGGAACTCCTTAATACCCCAGTCCTCAAAATAGACCCTTAAACAAGTTTTAAACTGTAGAAAAAAGTTTTTTTATATTTTTAAATTTTACATTTTTAAATATATACATACATTCATATATCAGTCACGAGGAAGAGAAGTTATTTGTACACCTCTGTCCTACTATGGAAAAATCATTAAATTACAGTTTTAATCAAGAATCTAGATTTTTTTTTTTAATTCAAACCTAGAACTTTTGTAATTCAAACTTTTTACTATTAATCCAGCTCAATCTGAGTTACATTATCTAGGTGTCCAATTTATGCCCTAGAGAAACCTTGTTACAGTATAGTTTTATGTAAAACTTTAATGCTTTCAAGAAAGACATCTTTTGAGGATTTTACAGTGAGTTTTAAAAATTTCTTCTTGCTAGTTGGTAATTATGAACGAAGCAGAAGATGTTACGTACTTTCTGCCTTACTGTGTAACAGCCAAAGGAATGAACCTCTTGGAAAGCATCAGCAGTTATTGGTAACCTGGGTAGTCAAAGTTTTCAGTTACCTTGTACAACATTAATGTAATTAGGAAGGCATCCCATAAGCAGCAAGAAGATAAACTGAATATTCCAAGAGGTAGAAAAACACTCTGAACTATCAAATTCCATTATCCACAGACAAAAAAAAAGGAAAATAAATACTGAGTATCATTGCAAACTGTGTTATAATGAGTATTTTTGAAGTTTCAAATCCCAGCTGAAAAACTCACATCATGAGGTGCTGCTTTCCTTAGCTATCTATTATGCATCAGACTGAAATAATAAGTTATCTTCTTACTGAATGGAGAGTAATACAATCCAGACTGTTTTAAAAGCTAGATTTCTTATTCTAACCTGAATCACTACTAAACTACAACTATACCACAATAATTTTGGAATATGCTTTCTCCAGCTTAACCTTCTAAATACAGAGTTGCTGAAATGACTATCAATACTACGTAGAATTAACTTGAGTTCAAAGACAAATATTTCTTCCCCTGAGCAGACACACTAAGTTCTAGAGTCTTATATCCAAGACTGTTTTCTTAAAAGGGTATGAGGGGAAAAAAAACCCAAACCCAAAAACCCAACAGTATCCATTATTAGCAAGAGAAGATTTTTCCCCATCTTGGAAAAACAAACAAACAAAAAACCCACCACACAAAACCCCATAAACATACTTCTCTTGGACACAGGCAGAAAGAAAGTAGGAAGATAGTAGAAAGCAAGCATATGCTTGCTCACAGAGCTATCAAAAAGAATCTTAAAAATCTGAAAAGATGC